TGAGCTAGTTCAACTTTACCTTTTATTTTACCCTGTTTACCCTGTTCTAGACAATGTCATATTTACCTACCAACACAAGAAAGGCTGCAGGGAAGGTTTGCGTGTCATTCCCAAATTCCTCTTTGATCTAATTGGGTTATGTTTCCCTGCAAAGATGAAACAGAACAGGATTCCAAATACATATTTTCAATAAAGTTTTCTACTACTAGCCCATTCAGTCACTCATTGAAACGAATCATATTCTAAGTGCTAATAGATAAAATGTGTTAATAACAACATGGAATATATAGCACAAAAATTCACCTGAAAAAATAAACAATCTCAGAAAAACTTAACTTTTCACTTAGCAAGAAATACCTTCTGCTGTTGGAGCAAAAGCATCTTTGGGGACACATCATTTTTCTGCAGAAAAAAAAGCAAAGCATACCAGAATCTGAGCTGAGAACATGGCATAGATCAACTAAGACAAAGGCTTAGTGCATTATGATAATTCATGTAATTGTCACGTCCAGTTTCATCTAATCCCTTATACTACTGATTGAAAGAACAAATATTTTAAAAGCCCCTGAGCTAAAGCTTAAAAAAATAATTACATTGAACAGGTTACAATATGTCTTGTAATATATTAGGAGTTGGGAATGCACAGCTTCCATTGAGAATTGAATTAATGTGTTCAGTTTGCAATTAATGAATATTCTAGGACATGCAGGAAAAGCTGTGACAAACATTACTATACAGTATGTCAGTACTGTGCTTAATTGTTTTTGAAGAGCTATTAACTAGCTTTGATTTTTTATATGACAACAGAAATGGAAATTCCGTCATTGCTACTGATAATGAACCAGGAAAAAAACCTAACACTATAATTGACTAACCTGTCAATTTTTAAATGTTTGCATCCTAAACCCTATGGAAAATAAGTAGCTTTTGAAACATATTGTTGAATTCAACAGATTTTTAATGTTTTGTAATAAAGACAAGGGAGTCAGAAGTTAAAAATCAAGGAGTTCTCACAGAAACTACTGCCTATATTCTTCTTTTATCTATGGAATGTTAACAGAGCCCATGCCACTCCAGAATTCAAGGTTATGAAAGCAGTGACAACCTAGGAAATGCACTTGGTTCATGAGTAGTGTATATATGTTTGCTGAGTTCTCAATTTTGATTTTGTAAGGGAACCTGAGAAGTTTGATGTTAGAGATAGCAATCTTGAAGTCCTAGTTTCATCTAGTTCTTTGCCAAGTAATTCTAGTTCTATTGACTTCAATATGAATATTGTTGAACAGTTATTGGAACCCAGCTGGAGCCTGTCTGAACCTTTAGTAGTTCAGAAGTGCAAAAAAAGAAACAAAACCAAACAAAAACACATAAACCCCCCAAAATATTAAAAATATTAATGAGCACCTTAAAATCTGTTTTTATACATTAATGGAGAGAGTTCTTCATTCAAAAATCCAACAATCTTTTCTGAATAGCTCAAATAATTTCCTAAACCTTCCTGAGATCAGAGGCAAGTTAGCCCTCATCCAAATCCCCAAGCCATCTGGTCTGTCCTACTTAATAGAAGGGGTAAGAGTGCTCACCATTTTCAAAGTAATCTAGGATTAGAGCTTTTCTCCAGGAACCCAGAGGCCTTACTGCTCGTCCTTAGCCTAAAAGGACTCAAATCTAGAGATTCTAATCACTAACAAAATGTTTAGCCACATAACTAAAGGCAGGACAAGACAGCAAAGTATTCTTTGTATATGGAACTGCATACTTGTCCTGATACAGCAAAATTTTCACAGAAATAGAAATGAAAATTGCAAGAGGAAGGCTTCCTCCTAAGGCCACGTTGATGAAGCCATTAATTTCTGAGGGAGGAATCCTCTGGTTCTGGAAAATTGACAAAGTTGCTCTTAGTGAGGGAGTGTCATAGCACTGCAGTTGCTCACAGCAACCCTACGGGTTCTGTAATTCAGAATGGGAATAATAAGGTCAAACTTTATTTTACCCACTGCAAAAATCAGTTCTGGAAAGTCAGCTTCCACCTATGGAATTATCCAGGTACAGATCATCAGGAAGGATTCTATGAGTCAGACAAACTCTTTACCATGATCAATGGCATATCATTATTATTTCTTCTAATGAATGCCCTACAGCTATTCAGTACAGAAAGGCATGTTCTTAGGGATGTTTGCCATTAGTCAGATCTTACTCTGACACAGATTTGACGTATCAAGTAAAGTTAAGTACTCAGCAATCAGTTTTAATCACAGTTAATTTCTCTTTAGCTGCAATGGTAAATCTGACAGATTGAGGAGTTGCAGATAATGGTGAAGCATAGTCTGTCACAAGCTTTTTTCACTCATTGAGCTGCTATATAGCATAGATATATGTACTAGCCTTGCTGCAATTCAGGCCTGTAGTAACATGAGTTCCCTTTTTGTGATAATTAATTATGCCAGTGAAAAGATCACCAAAGTTTATTAGCAGAAGCAAAGGGACGAGCCATTTCAGTCCAGCCTAAATTTACTGGTGATTAAGGATACTTTTGTCCTTAGATGGTGACCAAGTCCTCAGTCTAGTCGTAATGCAAGACCACTGTATGACTGATTTAAAGGAATCAGACTTTTCAAAGAACTGGATATCATGTCTAGTCCAATACCATCTTTTTATGCACGTCCCTCTATATTTTCTTTTTCTGATCATGCATGACTACAGATGAGGTCTCATAAAAAATAATCTCAGTAGTCATTGAACTCCAGCTATTAAGCATGAGGAAATACATGGGAGTTCTTCAGATTACAAAAACTATGCTTACATTTCTCAAATGTCAGTGTGAATTTCAAGGGTCTTCTCCTCTGATTTTGCAATGACATTGGTAGCCTGCATGCAAAATAAACTACCAATTTGAGGCACTTACTTAAATTTAAATACTTGCGTACCTATGCTGGGGAAATCCATCAAAGGTATATTGAAATCATTATCTGAGTAGCTTTTATTGCAATCTGAAATTTTCAGATATGTAAAGGAAAATTAAGGAAACTTCATTAATTTACCCAAAGTAATTAGATTACCTAAAGAGCAGCCTCAGGGCTTGGGGCCAGTGAACAAATTTAAAATGAAAATATGTTACTAGCACAAAGTACTAATATGCCACAGGCCATCCTGTCTAATTATACTAATGAAGAGGGCAGTAAAAAGCATGTCAAGTTGTATGTTTTTCAGAGACTGAGATAGCAACATTTGAAAATCTCACCAGCAAGAAATAAAACTATTAACATATTCTGTAACATAGTAGATTTTCTTGAACAGCCATGAGAAACAGAAAGTAAACTTGAGAGAGGAGACAACTGACAATCCACCAAGAATCAATATTGTGCTACCTTTGTATTAGTGCAACAAAACTCAACATCATCCTTCACTTCTTGTGAAATTTTCTCTGATAGTTTTCTAAAGTAAAAAGAATTAATTGTTCTATCTATGGTAAACCAGGAAAATACATGTTACAAGGCAAAAACATAGAAACTGGAAAATAAACAGGTTAGTATTAGTTTTTACTGCTGTCCTGTGGCAGTAGCAAGTTTAGTACTATTCTGATTTGTGCAGCACTCACATGAAAATTCAATAATTTTGTTCAAATAACAGCATTCAAAACTTAAAAGAGCAGGTGATATGCAATGCTTAAATGAAGGGCATATTTTGGAACTTTGCTTTTATGTATCCCTCTCTCAGATCTAGAAGGATTCCACATACAGTGCATATTAAAAACGCATTACAGAAATAATTGAGAGGCAATTCATATCTTGAGGATTTATGCAAAAGTTTTGATAAAGCAGTCTAGCTATATTCTGTATGCTGTGGGAATAGAGCTTTATCTGTGTCAGTACAATGAAGAAGAAAACATATTCTGTCAGTAATTTAGGTTTCAGTGTGTGCTGGAAACTGCTAATCAAAATGTTAGTACTAACTACTGTTAGTAGTGGCCTCAGCCTCAGCATGGACAGAAAAGCACATATACCTGATATCACAGTTTTTTATTGTATTGAGCCCCATGAAACAGATGAACAGTATCGCAGTCCTCTAAGAAATTTCAGCTTATGGCTAAGGGTTTCCAAGAACCAAATAAGGAGGAAAATAATATTATTAGCAATAGAAGTGTAGTCCCTGTGTCCTTATGCTCAGTGTCTTCTCAGTTCTTGGTATAATGTAACGAGATACTAATATTCACTTTTATTTTTAAAAACAAGTTCTGTTTTTCAGATTGACAAGTTTTTAAGAAAGTGTGCAACCATAAATACAACATTGTCTCTGACAGATAGTATATATGACTCCAAAAGGACTTCCAGAAGTTTGAAGCACTTCACTTGTCTTTTCTATATAAACACCCTTGTTGAAGAAATGACTGTAGGAATTGAAGTGACTCCACTTGCACCTAATCTAGTTTATCATAAGGACTCATATAATCTCCACCACATATGAACAGAGAGGAATGTGTCTCCTCCTCAGACAGCTGTATGGCAAGTTACTGGTCACACAATTTTCAGTAGGGAACTGAGGACAGGAAGTCTATGTGATAGGTCTAAAATATGTAAGGATTGGTGAGAGAAAAAAAGAAATTAATAGAAGTGGGACAGATTCTCACTGCCTAAGAAAGGGAAGTGGGAATGTCCCTGCTAGGAGTTAGGCAGAAAAAGGTAATTCCATAAGATTTTGTTTATGCTTTTTTTCTTTTGATTTCAAGAAAAAAGCTACTGTAGGAGTAGAGTTATATGGAGTGGTATGAGCTGTACACCGAGGTTGGATTTCCTTAGCTTGCTATTTTTTCAATTACCCTGAAATGCATCTTTATTCTAATCCATTATGTCCCCACTAATACAAATAGGTATCATGCTGGCATTCAGCTAAGTAATTCTTTTGTCATTCACAGATGGACAGAGGATTACATGGCTAAGAAATGAAATAAAAGCTAAATCCCTATGCTTGATAAAGCTTTGCTTGTTTCCTCTTTCATTTAGGATTATCGAGTGAACATCTTTCTCCGTCAGAATTGGAATGATCCACGCCTTGCATACAGTGAATATCCAGATGACTCTTTAGACTTAGATCCATCCATGCTGGATTCAATTTGGAAACCTGATTTGTTCTTTGCTAATGAAAAAGGTGCCAACTTTCATGAAGTTACAACAGATAATAAGTTGTTGCGAATTTTCAAAAATGGAAATGTACTTTATTCCATCAGGTGAGTCTCTAAACATATTATTTTTTCAGACAGAAGCTCTAAAGTGTACCTAATAATTGCTAACAGGTATCTTCAGTCAGGCAGAACTATCACTGAAGTAGCTGTAAGTTCTGAATACAAATTTTAACATCATTACTGTTCATTTTGATACTAAACCAGAAAATGACCCCTCATTAAGCAAGCACATAGTAAAAATAATAAGAAAAGTATCTTTCTCATTTTAAATTACAGATACTGAGACTAGAGGAGCTAGGACACTTGCACAGAGCAAATAATCCCGGAGTATTATAATCTGAGCTGGTCTATGTAGTAGTTTCACCTGCTGTAACTTCCAATGTCATGACAATTAAATGTTATTTCTTTTTCACCTTTTTGGATATTGCAGTTGCACTTCAACATGGAAATATGACCTGTCTGAGGAAGTATGACATTTAAAGAATAGTTCTCTTACTGCTGGAGATGGAGAGAAAAGTGGAAAGTAAACTTTTGAAAAGGTTTAAGAAGCTGTAAGCAGCAATCATAAGTATTAACAAAATCTAGTTATCCTACTTCTTTTCTCTTCTCCCCATTTTCCCTTTATTAATATAGACATTAGTAGGCATTTTGCCACTGTCTTCAAAAACCTGATGAGAGACACACTGGATATAAGTATAGTAATGCCCCATTATACATGGTATAGATTTGGTATTAATACAGTGACCTACTTGTGCAAGATGTTACACTTCTAAAAATAAATACACATTTTGCCCACTCAGTGTTTTGCTTTGCATGTTTTTACAACACTGCATTAATGGGTAATTGGACTTTTGGAAGAGACTAGAGAAACAGTTTGTATACAAAGAGAAAAAAAACACAACAAAAAAACAAACAAACAAACAAAAACATTTGGACTTGCCTGGTTGTATCAGTGGCAAGTGAGTCTCCCTTCTTGGTGCATCCAGTGCAAGTGGGCAGTGTCTTGTCAAGCTTACACAGGGAGAAAGCTTTGGGTTAAAATTCTTACAAAGACTTCATATATGAAAGGAGGTTATTCTGCCAGAGTGGGGATATAATTTTTCTTCCAAGTTACAACATGGATTCTGTCACTAGAAACAGATGGAAAACAAGTAGAAAGAATTCCTTCTCCAGACGCAAATAGAAAGCAGAGCTAAATCAATGTCCGACTCACCCTGAACAGCACTGGCAGTTGCTCCATTCTGATCAAATAACTCCTCCTTGCCCTACTCCCTCCAGATACATGCAACACAGAGTACAGACCCCACCACTCAACTGAAGCAAGTTTAAATTGTAACTTCAACAGAATTCAGACCAAATTCATGGTCACACGAAATGGGGGAAAAGTCAAACATGATAAACACTATAATTTTAAATTATAAAAGCAAAAATTGGCTGCTGGAAAAGCAAATGCCAGATACCTCATGTCTTTCTTATGTAGCCAGAAATTTTGTTGCTATGATTTAGTTAAGAACTATTACAATTTCTGAAACAGATTTAAAATCATACAATTAGCATCTAGTTGAGTTTTTTTGTGTGAATATGAGTCAGCCAACCTTTTGATGAGAGGACACAAGCTAATTGCTAATATGTTGATATTTAAAGGAAAAAAAAGTTTTCTAAACTGGCTTTTTCCTTTCATTCCACAATGTTTCCTTCTCCAATAATTTCATTGGAACAATTCAGACAAGAAAAAGACAAGAAGGCTGCAGTTCCTGATCCAATGAATGCTTAATACAAAATACTAAAATATTTACTGAAGCAAAAACTATAGTCCCGGTGCCTCTTCTTTGATATTATTTGACATGTTACTAGCCTACGGTCAGATTTTGCATTTAGAATCTTTTTCCTTAGCATAGGAATAGGGCCAGGATCTGAGTTCCCTCCTCAGACTCTTCCCCTTCAGCTCTGTCACTGGCAGGCTAACAGAAGTTACAGCAACAAAGAATCAAGAAGCTTTGGAGAGGGAAAAAGTAAGGTAAAACAAATACACAGTCAAGTTTGCAACCTACTGCCCACTTCCCTTTAGACCCAATGCCAAAACCAGGGGAATCATAGAATCATAGAATCATAGGGGTTGGAAGGGACCTCGAAAGATCATCTAGTCCAACCCCCCAAATGGGATTAATGAATGGGATTAAGAGAGAGGGGTTAGAGCACTACCATTCTAGAAAAGCCTCATGTGTAAGGAATTGAACTCAAGTTCCTCAAGTTTTGGGGCGCATTCTATCAGCTGAACTGATAAATGAATATGGGACAAAGATTTCTTGCAAGATGTTTTCTATAAAGAAGAGTGCAGTCGTGTTCTCAAATGATTAAAAGATACCTAAACATTGCTAGTGAGGGAGAAAAGAGAATCATAGAATTGTTTATGTTGGAAAAGACCTTTAAAATCATCAGGTCCAACTGTTAACCTAGCACTGCCAAGTCCACCACTAAACCATGTTCCTGAGCATCACATCTACACATCCTTCAAATACTTCCAGGCAAGGTGACTCAATCACTTCCCTAGGCAGCCTGTTTCAAATCTTTTGGTGAAGAAATTTTTCCTAATATCCAATCTAAACTTCCTCTGGCACAACTTGAGACTATTTCCTCTTGTTCTGTCACTTGTTATTTGAGAGAAGAGACCAACACGCACCTCGCTACACCCTCCTTACAGGTAGTTATAGAAAGCAATAAGGTCTCCCCTCAGTCTTCTTTTCTCCAGACTAACCCCTGTTCCCTTAGCGGTGTTTCATAAGACTTACTCTCTTGACCCTTCATCAGCTTCATTGATCTTTGGGCACACTTCAGCACTGCAATGAAAAAAAATGCCCCATACTCACCAGTGCCAAGTACAGGGGGATGATCACCTCCCTGGCCCTGCTGACCACACTGTTCCTTTGCCTTCACTTCTTATAGGCTTCTTTCTCATTCCTCTGAGAATTATCACTCTAAAAATAATTTATTGTACTGATAAAAAATGTAGAAATACCTCCTTGGCCTATAGGTTGAAGAGTATTTAACAGGACTAACATGGAAGATAGCTGCAGTTCGAAATTACAGGCACATTTCAGTCTACCATCAATATAATAAATTTCTAAACCTCTGTGCTGATGCTTACACACTTTTTTTTAGGACAATAATACATAAATTACAATGTCACTGTGATTTGCAGCTGACACCTCTTATAAAATTCTTGCAAGTCCAGGTAAAATTTATGTCAAGGATTTTAAATACTGTAACAGTACAATCATTTTCCTGTGGCACAAAAAAGCTCAAACCAGAACACATACCATTTTTGCATTCTTTCAGACTTCTCATAAAGTTAGGTAAACCTACTAAAAAATGTGTTTTCTGAAAGCCTGCAATAGTTTTTTTCCACATTATCATACTAGACTGAGTGAGTGAAATGTATTCAGCAAATATATATCTATTTTGAGAGCTTTCTAATGAAAAAATATATTTTCCTTTTTTTTCTAATTATTTCCAGTGTTTTCATGCATTCTTCCTGTGCAGTTCTATGGCATTTTTTGTGGTATATTTTTAAATCTTTTTTGTATTCTTTCAGATTGACTTTAATACTGTCCTGTCCAATGGATCTCAAAAATTTTCCAATGGATGTGCAAACATGTATAATGCAGCTGGAAAGCTGTAAGTTTGGGTAATATATTATCTTATAAATACTTTTGTAGGGATTACAACAGCTGAGCAGGATGTAGAAAGACCCCTTGTAGTGGTACAAGAAAAAAAATTAAAAATAAATCCTCTATTTTACCAAAAGGACCTGTAAAGCATACATTTTCAAAGGAAGTCATTCTTTGATCCTTACTTGTACTGTAAATCAACAGTTTGGTGTAAATCTAAAGGTACTGCTAAGCATTTAGCATTCAGTGACAGTTTATGCAAAATTTATGCATATGGGGATTCACCATTAAGTCTTCCCTGTGTTCACGTATTTAGGGGGCAATATTATGGGGCAGCATAAAGAAAACATGAGAATAACTTTAAGAAGTGTTTTATGTGACCCTGACTATCCTGAATTTGGTAATAACTCTGTCTTTAAAAGATGGAAACAAGACGATGTATACCAAGTCCCTGATCTTCAGATTCCTGCCCTAGCTCTTCAGCTGCATATCTGTAGTTTTTACCTAATCATCCTAGAAGGGATTAGGGAAAAGGTGTACTGCAAGGGAGAACTGCAGAAGATTGCAGAGCATGTATATGTATATATGTATATATCCATTAATCTACATAGAATATACCACTTACACAGCCCTCACACCCTCAGATAGGGCAGTGCCTTGGATCCATAGAACAACTCCTAGAAAATCTTAGGAAAGGCAGTAGAGCCGTTGCATTATGGCAAGGAAGAAGTCCATACAAAGTTATCATCTAGCTGATACTATGGTCTAAGCTAACATAGGATATGTGAGGAGGAAGGCACAGATATGCATTACATTTTTGTTTTCTTTTTGATGTGAAGTATTTGGGAATTGCCTTTTCCCTTTAAAATGAGAAGACTTGGGGAGAGATTCCTAGCAGGAAAATACTTCTAATGATGTGAAGAACAGGAGAGGGAAAAGAAATAAATAAATAAATAAATAAATAAATTATTTGAGGCTCCAGCAATCGAAAGTCTGTAAAAATTAATGCAGGAGAAAAACAGATAAAGTACCCATCTTAATGACAGATGTAGATTTACAGTTTTATAATGAAGATGTAAACTAATTTTCTCCATATAGAATTAACATACTGCATTATATGAAATGTATTACAGATCAGAAACACGACATACATAATCTGAATGAAGCATTTTTTAATTTTGGTTGTTTTTTTTTTTCTTCTAATTGAACAAAGTAGTGCCTAAGTAAAGGGGGAAGTAATCAGTCAGTGTGCCAGAACTGTTGTATGGGTAATGGTATGTTTTTTCAGAAAATTACCAAATTTATCTTTCTTTACAATAGACAGATGGTAATATTATAAAGCAGGTTTTCAATAGGAGATTGAAACCTGAATCTGACAGCAAAAGTTTTCTTAAATAAAATTCAGATATAGTTATTTGCTGCAAATGTCAAGGAATGTGGAGCAATATTATATATTCAGCATTTAAACAAAACTACATAGTCAACCCAAGTGGATTATCCTACTAATAATATATGTCACCTTGATAATTCATGTTACTAAATAAAAAGTTTGTATGAGTTGTAGCAGAGTATGTACAGATAGCCAGTACTTTCACTATATATAATTATACTTCAAACAGAAAATATCATAGTGTTTGACTGAAGAAGGAAAAGGTGTATTAAAATTTAAATTTAAAAATCTATTTATTTTTTTAAAACAAATGTGTTTCAAAAGTTTTCAAATTGTTGTTTTAACAACTTGATAAAACTCAGCTCTATTTTTCCTCTCTTCCAGCCCTTGTGAGGACAGGTCAAAGAAAAACTGAACATTCTAGAACAAGCAGGCATCTGTTTTGCTTTATAAAAGCTTTGCAGGAGTTCACAGTTCCCATATACTGCTCCACAGGGAACAAATGCTTATTAGTTGAATAGCACTGTTGATGTTCTACTGTATTTTCCAGCAGAACATTTTTCACTGAAGTCTTGTTTTCAATCATTCCTTTCAGTGGGAGCAAATTCCCTGCTGCACATTCACATAGTAGAGAGATTTAATATTCACAAAAGAAGTGCTGAACAAAATACAAACACTTCAAAATCTTCTAGTTACAGATAAATATATACAGATAATAATAATACAGATAAATTTGATTACATATGGAAGTTGCAAGTAATAAAACTTTCCCCATATCACCTTGGCTGCATTACATAAAATGAAATGAGCATTATTCCTTTCCCACAACAGCACAAGGACACCAGAAGAAAAATAATAGAACTGCAGTGTATTATCTGCCAGTGATCCTCAGCTGTCTACCTGAGAGACAGTAATTATGAACACAGTAGGTAAATGCCTGCCTGTGCCTGAATATGTGGAAACCATACCTCTTCTTTCCATTTCAGTAAAACAAAAGTTGTTCAAGAGCTCATCCTACAGTTTCTGCTCTGCAGACGGGTGACTCAGCCCACTGTGTGTATCTGAAGCAAAAACTGACACACAGCTAACAAAGCGAGAAAGATTTGTAGTTTTCAGCTCCCAACCAATGCAGGATGAAAAGGTGGTAGTAATCGTACAACTGCTGCTAAACTCACAGAAATTAATCTAAAAGTGACAACTGAAAAGCCATAGGCTTCAGCAAGGAATATTAGGTTTGAGAGATGAGGTAAAAGGCTGGAGATGAAATGTTATTCTCTGAAATACAGGCTAAGAAGGATAAATCTGCAACTCTCAAGGGAAAGACTTAAGAGGGCAGTGCAAGGAGCAGACACTTTGCAAAGCAGCTCAGAAGTACAAAGAATAAAAACCTGCTTTCTTGGACCTCCAGCATAAATTCAGCCTTGAAATGCAGCACAGTGGATTTCTGAAGCTATTTTCAGTATGCAATGTATAATAGAAGAATTTATTCTAACCTCTAGCCAAAACTAGATTTGATATCTTTGTCAGATTTTTCCCCTGCTCTGTTGCTTGGAGTTTAGGGCACAATTCAAACCTTTGCCATGTTCTTCTGAAGAATGATGTGCACACAGCCTGTCCTGGAGGTACACTCTTGTGATGCCTAAAAGAAGACTAATGAAATAACTCTAGTCAACATGACTGTAAGTCCTTGCCTCAGCTGGAGACCTAAAAAAATGCTTGGTTTGCTGAATAAATCCAGTGTTACTCTTGGACCTGTACCTTACTAAACATTAGAGAAATGAGAATGGAGTTTAGATAAACCACTGGGATCAAAAGAACTATAAAATACACTCTGCAGTCCTACCAAACTCTGTTATACAAAAATGCTAGATATTCAGCTCAGCTGTTTCATGTCATTCATATGTTTTTTTATTGAACAAGAGGAAAAGAGTTAGTTTTTAATATTCCTCTAAGTACTGTAAAATGACACAATGGAAGCATGGCCTTCCTGGACTAAACAGAATTAGTAGAAAATTTACAAGATATATTGGTATTCAGCTGGATCACAAGTTTGATCAAAAATTTTTTTCTTCATGGGTTGGAATGGTACCCTAATGGTGGTTGAAAGGGAAGAACTTAGCAAATATGACAGCAGAAGTAAAAAACAGAGTATTTTGGATTTGGCAAGACAATTGTGTTTCAGAGGTGTGGAGTGTCTCAAACATACAGCTTGCCCTGAAAAACAAGCCTTGTTTTTCTGTATTGGTATAGTCCTTGGACAGCGTGGATAAGAGATACTAATACTTCCAAGACACCTCAATAAGTCTTCAAGACAAACTTGTTGGATGTACGCAGTCTTATCTGTTAAACAGACTATCACAGTAGTTTTATTTTATATTCAGATATTTAAAACCTTGCATCAAGTATTCCAGGCACAAGTCCTGACAACCTCTTCTCATCCAATGCATTATCTTTTCCTCCTACTCTCTCCATAACTGTGACCACACAGAGTTTTACTTTCATTTTTTTTACTTATTGCCAGCTTTGTGACAGACCATTTTCTAAAGACAAATTTCCACAGACCGAATCCAGTTTTCACAGTTGTTCCTGGCCCTTGACAATGCCAGATGATTCTAAATTCAACTTAGTTTGCCAGTTCTTCACCTCAGGAGGTCTGTCTGCCAGTACGTTTCACCCACTAATTACCTGGAATGAGTTCAGGCTCCTAAAAATGAGTTGTCTCTTTAAAGAGAGCAGCTTGTTGAAAGGCTACAGTGCCACATGTACACAAAGTTATTGAGTTTTCCTAAGAAATACTCCCTTTGGTAACCTTTGCATTTCTACTGCCTTTCTCAATCTTCATGTGTTTACAACCTGCAAACATAGCACACTGCATTTCAGTGAAAGCAGCCCCTACTAATCCACCTGATCTAGTTTAGATTGGCCTGGTCCTGCAGACCACTATACTATGTGATAGCCTCCATTGTTTTCAGCTATTTCTGTTGTATAAAAAGGTTCACTTTTTCCACCATGCATACAAAAGTGAGCTGCACCCTCGTATATTAATGAGGCCAGTGACTGACTGTCACCAAAATGTAGCCACTAGAATTTTCTTCCATAGCATTTTATTTCCAAATCACCAGTTATAAAAATGTCTGGTAAAAGTTTATAATAGTCACTAGAACCACCTCATAGTGAAAAAAAGATAATCCATTTTAGCAAGAGGCCAAATATCATGTCAGGCTGCAGCAAATGCAAGTAAAAAAGAAATATTTATGTTCTACTCACAAAGCAGCAGCAAAAGAGATCATATAGTGAGAGTGAACAGCAAGAATTTTCAAAGAATAGGAATAAGCATTATACACCAAAAATTTACCCTGAAAGAGGTGTGCTTCGAAATAGATTAACAGGTTTTTCTTCCAAACAGATTAGAACTCCTTTCAGGCATGGACATGTTATTTTCTGTGGAAAGCCAAACACAATGAAAGTGAGGCACAGAGAAAAATCTTTCTACACTCAAGTCTTATCTGACAAGAAGTCAGGGTTCAAGAACTTATGTCTACTAAAGAATAAGCTCCATACACCTGTAAGCAGAGTTAATAAACATTTAAAGTTATGTATACATGATAAAAGCATTCTTCTGATTTGGCTTTAAGTCATCTCTTTGTGTAATCTGAGTTGAGTGCAAGACCACTGAAATTATTTCCCTAGACAGAATACAGTGTCCTCTGATATAAATGCTCTGGCAGAAATGTTAGAGGCATATGAAATGTGATGAAGTACTGCCTTTGCTATTTAAAAAAAGAAGAATGCCAAGAAGAATCGATGACTCAGTATTAAGAAAAAATAAAGAAATCAGCAGAATCTTTGGAACTGTACCAAATAACAACATACTTTCTGTTGCAATATTGATAATACCTTTCCTTAACATCTCTCAGTAAAGAAAATTTAAAGACAAGTTAGTGTTCTCAAATAGTTCAACAGGCTTAAATGATTTATGTTTTTTCACTTCCCCAATTACTGGACTATTAGAAGATTTTAGATTTCCCTGATTCAATAGGCACATTAGATTGGGCCAAGTATTTCACATTTAATAAAGCACCATAAATTTAAGAGACTAAGCTGATTTGATTTGATTTAATTTAACTTACCTAGTGAAAATTTGATATATATTATCCTATTTTAAATTTATTTGGTATAGCATGAACTTATGTCTCCATTAAGTTTCTTTACATTTTAAGACACATTTAGTTTATAAATATGATCTTACAAAACTGAAGTTACAGTATTGAATGCTAAAAATACATTTGGGAATTTAAAAGGTGAACATGATAAAAATTAATTACTACATCAGCATTTTGCACACACTGCTATTATTTTTAATAGATTGCACTATAGCAGAATTAGTGACCTAGGTAGATAATCAAAATTAAAAGCACACATTAGAGATTAATGAATCTGATTTAGTGAAATACCTTTTGACACAGCAGTTGTTTCATGTCAGTTCAATGAGTTTCACTCAGGGGATATAACTTCTGGCCATAATCTACATGCTTCAAAGGATAATCTGCTTTACACACAACTGCTTTTTGTCTGAATTCATTCAAAGTCTAATAAGAGCTGTACTTCTAGTCTTTCATCATTTATGGCATTTAATAGTGATTCTTAAAACTATTCATTGGATGTTGTGCATTCAAGAAGACAGAAAAATTAGTGTTTCCTTGCACAGATAGTATATGCCTCTCATGACTTGAGTAATGTCTGATCTCAATTCAATACCTATTTAAAATGATATGGTGCCTTTTTTAGCATATTTTTCCAGACACACACAAAAAAATACCAGAATAAACCAACAGTCAGCCTAAGTGCCTGAGTGTAAGGGTACCTAAAGAATCTAGAAGCAAGGAGAGGTGTTGAAAAGTTTTAAATTTATAATCACCAATTATGTGCTTATAGGTGATTCAACACAGACAGAGCCAAAAGGATGAAGTGTGTCTCAGATTTGAGGTCAGTGTGTGAGGGCATTAGGACTAAACAGCCTTTATGTGTGTATTTAAAGAGTAATTAAGCCACTGAGCATAACACAGGAAAGATTTATGTCCACGTATCGAAGACATGTTATTTCCTTCACTAACAACTCAAACTTTCAGTATTTGTGGAAAGATACTCTTAGAAAGTTCCAAGCACTATACTTTGAACAGTAACTGGTTACCGAAAAGTTAAATGATATTTCCAGTTATCAGTAGGTTATTCTTAACAGCTTATTAGCCCTGGGCTAAAGAAGAAGAGACATATTACAAAGAAACAAAATAGATGAATGAAAGATATATAATCTAAATGTAAAAATTACTCCCTTTTCCTTATGGTTCAAGCTATTAAATGTGCCTCAAGTGTACCCTGGTTCAAGCAATTACAACACTAGAAGCCATCTAGATTTAAATTTCAGTCTTGAAATCTCACTTTCTCAAAATCTGTTACATTCTAAGAAAGTTTTAGTGGAACCTGAATTAGAATAGGATGTTGGGGGTTTTTTGGTTTGGTTTTTTTTCTATTATAATCAGGTAAAAAGTATTCAGAAAAAAATATGGAATAAAATGCTGGAGAAAGTTAATATACGACATATTCAGAAGAAGTAGAATTATTTTTACCAATTATATCCCATGCAAATATTCACCTGAGAGGGGGAGAACAAGAGAAACTATTTGCCCTTTACGAAGTCTGATGCCTTGATTAGTATTTCTGCTACAGCTTTTGCTGGTTTATATAATCTTATACACACATGCATGAGGTACAGCTAAGTGCAGGAATCTGAATATTAAAACTTAATGCCTTTTAATATCATAATACGTCACAGTCAGTCAATATGGGAAGATTAAATTCAATTCCTTTCCCTTATTTTTTGTACCAGTTTCAGAGAACAGTGTATTTTCAATTCAACGAATACTTCCTTCCTACAGAAATTTACATTCATTGTTCTCTTTGAAGAATTTGTGCCTAACAATTGAAATTGATATAAACCATAAACACAGCTTTCACAATCCACCATTTCACCTCAAATAAAAGGAGAAAGATACAAGAGAGTGAAGGGCCTTCACAGGCTGAGGAGGCTGAGAGGATTTTCCCAAGCACCAAAGACAACTGGATGTTTAGCTCACTGTGACGCTTTTGATAATTCCATTAATAGACTACCTAGTCATTAAGATTTCACAAAGAGTGCATAAGACTGGCTTTTTCTTCTTTTTCTAGCTCAATATGGCAGATAACAATTTTTACTTAAAAGTTATAAGCAGAGCCCCTGTATTTTGTCCTTTCTATGAGATTTACTTAAGTCATCACTATTCGGTACGTCCCTGCTCTTCAAAGTTTGCAGTTGAATTAGAGTACATTTGTGCTTTTTTTTTTTTTTTTTTTTTTTGCTTTTTTTTTTAGTTGGATACACAATGAATGATCTCATTTTTGAATGGCAAGAAAAGGGAGCAGTTCAAGTAGCAGAAGGCCTCACTTTGCCACAGTTTCTGTTGAAAGAAGAAAAAGATTTATGTTACTGCACCAAGCATTACAATACAGGTAGGAAAGCCTATTAGTGATTAAAACTGGAAATGCATTTAACATTTATTGTTAATTTGGAGAGTTGTTGGGTTTTTTGAAAATATTTTCAGTGAACTCACAAGAAGATTAAAACATACAGGTACATTGTGCAGGATAATGCAAACTTAAAGAATTGGCATAATGAAACAAAATACCTTCAGGCTGATCAAATTTCAGTAAGCTTAAGAAAATACATACTTGAAAAAATTCTGAAGCAAGCAGTCAGCAGGTTTATTTTTGCAGCAGGTGCCATGTCCACATCAAATACATAGTTTCTGAAGAACTGCTGAAATCCAAAGATCCATATGCTGTGCACTAAGTATGGCCTGGTTCAGTCAGGAAAAAGGGACATGGGGTTGCCATACCAGCTGTCGTTGCCCTGGTTCATACAGCAATGGGACAATGCAAACAAGCTGAAAGCATCCTTAGTGTACAGTGGTCAGGTTTTCAAACAAGATGTGGCCTTTCTAAGATTAATTCTGAATTTCTAAAACATTACTTCAATAACTGGACAATCACAAGTCTAATAATCCTAAGAAAACCATGTACCAAACGCTAAGAATGCACCGCTTCCATTTCCTCATGGGGCAGAGAACCTCCTTAATGGAAGCATATGAAACTAGTCAAGATGCTGTACTGTCAGGCTGACAGAACATTCATGGAAATGTATAAGAAAAAAAAAAAAAAACAACAAACTAGAACTCTCATTCTAATCTATCTCTCTTAATTTCCCAACTATTTTACTATTTTAATAGATCAAGCATATCTTGAAATTTAAGTTTGGAACTCATTTATTTGAATTCTGCTGAAATAGCAGAAGTGATAAAATTCAATAGATGGTGTTCATAAGGAATGTCCTGTTGAAATTCAGTAAGAGTGCACTTCAACACTGAGTTTTATCACAGCTGCCATGGTCCCCTAAGGAAGAGAAAAGTTCTTCAATAATTTCCATTTAGAGTGGTGAGATATTTCTAGAGACATTTGGAAGTGTTCTCTGAAATACATTGTAAATACATAACATGCACTTTCACTGCACAAATACTAATATCTAGGTAATTCTTTAAAAACTTCCAGAAAGGGAGATATATATCCTATAGCAGGGTAATTTTTATCATTCAATTCTCCCTTTGTTAATCATAATAATGAAATTAATATTTTTTTTTCTTTTTACCATAATCCTTATGACAAACAAGAAAACCTGAATTATATAAGCAACCTCTACTTTCTTTTTGGGATTCTCCTGCTTTTGTGCTAGATCAACACATATCTGTAACTGTACTTCTACAACCTCTATAGCGATATTAGTAAATGATAAGTAGTGATAGAAGGTATAGTCCTAATTTTTTTTTTAAGTCACATGACACATCAAAAATCTCGGACAGAGGAATTAAAACATTACTGTCGTACTTAATCTGATATTGAACAGAAACCTGTCAGAATTCCTGATGATTTCCAAATATCTCTCCAAATATCTCATCCAAAGCTGAATTATACTCTTCATTTGTCTAAGAACATTCATTACAATCACTGTAGTTTAAACCTTTTGATGACTGAAACTTCAACTTTTCCAGATTTTTGAGCCTCTAACTTTTTCTTCACAACCTGTGTTTCAAGCCTATTTACACTGATATTTATTTCTTCCAAGTAGGAACAGGAAAACATTCTAGGCCCAGATGTAACACACTAGGTTGCATGGTATCAACATACGTTCACAGTCTTTTTCACTGTGGCCCTAAACTGAGCTGAGAAGTCAGAGGAACAGGTGTTATTAACTGCATGTGAGGTCTCATGAGTCTCAAAATGTATTTAGTGTCATAACTCTGGAGGACAGCATGGTCAGTCATCACTCTGTTGCACTTCTGTATTACTTTGGAATTCCCATGGCCAAATGGGAGTTCTGAGTGCAGACCACAACCCTGAATAAATGGCTGAAGTTTATGCTTCTACTTAAAATAATAATTGGGCCATTTAATTTGCCATAAAAAGTGAAGCCACTTACTAATACACAAAACCTGGAAGCCTGGATGCAAGCCCCCACCATATGCTTCAGAGTGGAGACTATAAAAACCTCAACAAATGAGAAGATGTGCACAGCTGTGGGACCTGCCTATGATGGGCAGGGGTGTGGAAATGCAATGCTGAGTGGCACTAGCTGCAGGCAGAAGGGTATGTCCTCACCAGAAGAAGCAGCAGAATGGTCTGCTCTGAGTTACGACACTGAAGTCACAGTTACAGATTGGAAGAACGTGGCAAACCAGAAAGAAAAGATAGTCTTACTCATGCAGGACTATTGTGATACTCTCCTCTTCAAGATGACAGTTATTTTCTCCAGTGTATTTATTTTTTCATTCAGGTCTTCAGTATGAAGTTAATTTAATCAAATTAGAGTGGTTTAGTTTCTAGGAGGGTGGGAGTACCTTTCATTTCTTTGTTTCAAGCAGTATTATTAACTACCATATGTAGGCTAAAGAAAACACCAAACATTGTGTTAAAAGACAACAACAGCTAAGAATTTATTTTCCTCTCTTATGTCATTTGGATTTGTGACCAGTAATGTGCTTTCTTAAGGCTCCTGCAATGAGATACTGTAGACAGGTACTCCTTTAGGATACTCCACAACAAACAAGAAGTAAGTAATTTTTAAAAACTAGTAATAAAGCCTATTTCTCTAAGAAATACGATAAAATTAATTCTTAAAAGAATGCTAAACCACTGCAGCTGGTATGCAGTAAATGACCAAATAAGTTTTCAATTTATATTTAGTTACAACACAGGATGGAAAGCCCTTCTGAGAAATCCCACAAAAAGGAAAAAACAAACAAACAAACAAAACAAAAACCAAAAAAAACACACAACAACAACAACAAAATAGTCTTCCTGTGAAACAAATTAGCACGAAGCTTCAGGACAGTATGTGGAAACTCAGCAGTGTCTGTATCATCAGTGTTTCATGCACAAATGAAAATGAACCACTGTAACCACAGCTTGAAAAACAAATTGCAGTGATTACTTGGAAAAGGAAGTTATCATCCTTGCACTCTAGGAACTTCCTGGATTGTTTGCGCTTAGCAGAGTTGTTCTTCCAACAGATGTCAGGGTGGTTGAAGTCTCCCATGAGAACCCTGGCTTGTGAATGTGAAGCTGCTCCAATCTGTCTATATAGTGCCTTGTCCATATTATGCTCCTGCTCAGGCAACCTGTAGCAAACCCCCACTGTGATGTCACCTTTGCCTTTCTTCCCCTTAATCTTAACCCATAAACTCTCTGTTGGCTCCTTATCCATCCCCAGCGAGAGCTTCATGCACTCCAGCTGGTCTTTGACTTACAGGGCAACATCCCCACCTCTTTTAAACACATCCAGGGATGGTGACTCAGCTACCCCTCTGGGAAACGTTGCAATGTCTAACAACCTTTTCAGTGAAAAAGTTCTTCCTAATGTCTTGTCTAAACCTCCCCTGGCACAGCTTGAGGCTATTTCCCCTTGCTCTATCAGCAGTTACTGGTGAGAAGAAACCAGCCCCTACTTCTTATCAGTGTCCTTTCAGGTACTCGTAGAGGGTGATGAGGTCTCCCCTCAGCCTCCAGTTCTTCAGACTAAACAGCTCCAGTTCCCTCAGCCTTGTTCTTGTTCTTGACTTGTTCTCAAGTCCCTTCACCAGCTTCATTACCCCTCTTTGAACACGTTCCAGCACCTCGATATCTTTCTTGTATTGAGTGGCCCAAAACTAGACACAGTAGTTGAGGGGGTCCTCACCAATGCCAACTACAGAGAGACAATCTCCTTCATGGTCCTTCTTGCCACACACATACAGGCCACAATGCCATTGGCCTTCTTGGCCACCTGGGCACATATGTGAGACTACACTAGCCACATGTATGAGACTCATCTCATATATAACTCATCTAAGCTCTACATTGCCATACACTCGAAAATTATAATTTCTAGTCAGGCTACATGATCGTAGATACAGCTTGAATGTCTGATGACGAGGAAAAATCAAGTGCCTTTATAAGCAGTTTCAATCAGCAAAATATACTCAAATTGCATTTCATATTTCAGTGCAAACTGCAAACAGTGTCTGGAGACTGCACTAACAAAGTGGTTTTTTTATTACCCTATGTCCTTCTTAGAGATGTTTGAAAATAATTTTAGTTAACTTTACTTATATGTAATCAAATTTATCAATGCATTCTCTTGAAATAACCAGCTTTGTACACACACACATTTTATGGAGTGTCTTGTTCACAGCATCGCAGAATGACAGAATCAAAGAGTGGTAGGGGTTTGGAAGGGACCTCTGTTTATTTAAGACATTTTATCATGGGAAGACAAAGGGACAGAAAGTATTTAACTGTATTTCAGCAATAAACAGGATGCCTTTCTAATGATGATGTAACATTCTAGGAGGGATAAAAAGGAAGTCTTTTACTGAACAAAGTAAACTCAACTAGACTGTTCACCTAGTGATGATTTTGGTAACAACTCAAACAAGAGAAAGTAGAAGGAGCTGTTCTGACTCATGGAAAAATTAGTTTATATGCTTCATTCTTCTTACTTCCTGTGAAAAATATCTGCGGTGTGATATATAACACACTGTATTTTGTCACCAAGAGGTTAGTTGTGGTTTTATTTTAGCAGATGCAGAGGAAAAAAAAAGCACATAACAAAAGGCATTAAAAAAGTGCCAATGGTCTATGTCATCCCTCTCCTGACAAAAGGTTTCATTTAATTCTGAGCCCGTGTCTTCTTTTCAGCCAAACTGTTATTTCAGTTAGAACATTAAATTGCCCTCAGAAAATTTCTTTCAGTGTAAATAACTTTAAAAATAACTTTAATGAATGATTAGTTATTTTTTTATTATTATTTATTTAATAAATAACTTTTTTAAAGCTTCATATTTGAGGTTTGGGGTTTTTTTGTTCTTTGGGTTGTTTGGTTGTGGTTTGTTCCCACTTGCAGGGGACTTACAGTCTTGCTTAATTATAAGACAAATAAAAATATCATCTCTCTGGGGTCCTAACACACCCATACACAAAGGACTAACTTTCTACTACCTAGAATATGTGACCCAGACACTGGCTCCCAAGAAAATTCACTTATACTTTCTGAGGAAAAAAAAATCATGTAGACTGACTGGAATATACATTATACCACTATAATATTGATTTCAGTGTGAACTGGACATTGCATCGCCAAATGCCAGCCTAGCAGATCTGACATTGTTACCAAAGAGCATAAGTAAGAGAGAGAAATGCACCATCACAAGCATATATACCAGTACATTCACTTCATATGCATTGACACAGCACCCGACAAGACAGCATTTTCAGTGCCTTTATCACACTTGAATTCCTGGTTAGGTTAGACTTACAAACACAAGGAGCATTACCTCTGTTTCAGGAAAAAAAAACCTTGTGTTTTAGGAAACCCTCAGTAGCTCTTCTTTCGATTGCATTACAAAAATCTGTACATTGTATGGATTGTGTGCACATCTGTACTTAGCTCTGGTCTGAAATCAGCATTAGGCCTTAATCTGTTATTCAGCCTCAGCAAAACTCCAATATCACAAATGTTTCATATACTCCTCCTAGCCATTCTCCATGGCATTTACAGTGCATATGAAAATGAGCAAGACCTTACCTATTATGTACTGCAAATTAATTACTAGAGCAACACCCTTAGCTACTTGTCTGTCTCCTTCCCCAGCTGGGATGACTTTGAGGGTATGTCTCTTCTCATCCATTCAAGAATTCAGTCAAAGAGATTAAACAACAGCTAACCTGGCTTTAAATTTGAAATGGAATGCAGGAAGAGAAAAGGAGCCAACAGCTGGATTCAGCTGGGAAACAACAGTACAACCTTTGCTGACTGCCTTCTAGCTGATGATCACATCTGCTAGTGCAAATGTTTTTTTCTTCCTTTCAGTTTCATTAGCCAAGTTTATGCAGGTGGTTCTGACCTTAGCCAGGAAGGGCAAAAACTAACATCAACAATTCCAAACTTAGACCAGCAACTGCTTCAAATGAAGTACTGAAACTGCCTTCCAGCTGCTGCCTTTCTCCTCTGCTGTCTTCCGCTGGTAAAAAAGCCAATAGTCAGCAGTGGAGTAACAAAGAAAAGTGTCTGCGTGGCTAGCAACCAGTCTCCCTGGGGAGTTGCCACATATTTTGTTTTTCAGTGCTACACTGGAACAGAGCAGATGAGGAACACAGTGGTCTTGGTTGGGAAGCAGTAGACACATGACTTGGCATAGCCAAGACTTCACTGGGCGTAAGAAAAAGGCAGGAGTCTAAGTCACACATTTTGTGGAGTTAAAGAGATATTTTCTCACTTTGAGACACACTTCAGTTTCTGGTTTTAATTTGTTTTCTTCTGTTTGTTCTAGTTTTTTACCTTGATGTTTACAACAGTACAAAACAAAAAATCATTCAGTATAATTTCTCTGACACATCACTCGGTCCTAGTTCTGGCCTCATAATCCCATCTCTTTTCTCCCCTTTTCTGTGGTTACAATATATTCCATTTGCAGTCTTTTCATTCAGAATCTCATTTTGTTAGGGTTCTGTTGTCCACAGCTATTCCTCTCTTTTTTCTTAGTTCAGACATACCTGGCAAACTTGCAACTACATGAAAATAAACCACATCAGAGCTAACCTATCATTTATTGCTCCTTTTTTAGGACCAAGGGGGTTTTTGTGCTGATGTATCTGTAGTAATTCAAGCACACTTGAGTGCTCAGGAAAGAAGCTCAGGTCTCTTATCCCACCTTTCTCTGAGAATAAAAGAATGTACAAGCAATACCCTATGTTTATTGACATTCCAGTTAAGCATACATTACTCTTTCTGACTCTCCTTAGTTTTTCTTCCTAATTTGTTTTGAAAGAATAATATAGGATGCCATAAGAAGAAAATGTTGCACGTTGAACTGTAATTCTCGCCCATGTGATGCCAGATAAAACAGCTTTTCAAGAGATCTAGATTTAGTTCGTACATTTCTTTCATTACCACCATGTTTTACTGAGATGTATGAGAGATCCCTGCTGTCCAAGCATGTAGATTTGACAAAATAAACATCAGAAAAAAGAAATCTTCACAGAAAGGACCAGCTTGAAGTAAGAATATGATTCTGACAAAGTCCAGTCAGTACATAATTTCTAGTTATGTTGTGTATACTGAAATGCTAAGTAAAAAAATGTTTAATGTAGGTATATTTTTTAAATTCCTGAAAGAGAAACATAGGGAAAAATCCTGGGCTTTTCTGAAGTAAACACCAAAATTCCCACTAACTTTCTTAAACCAGGACTTCATCCCTTGATTGAAACAGAAATCAGTTTTGAAGCTGGGGCAGCAGATGGTTGAGTCAGGATTTAGGACACAGATTTCAGGAGTATAGATAGGATTCAGGAAACACAAGCAATTAGGAATGAAACTAATAGTTGAACCAGCAGATATAAACTCATGAGAAATATCATGTCTTTTTAAAATTTAACATCATAACTACTGTCTTTCTAAATATTTTTAGTGCCTCAGCAGAATGAAAACTTCATTTATAATGACACCACAGAATGAACCAATAGACTGCTAAAAAAACTATTATTGAAATAATGACATTTAGAAGATCTTACCAAGCACTTAATATGCCTAGAATAAAAATAGTTGTTTGTCTTTGTCTGAAGCGCATTTCTGAATGACTTACACTATTGTCACAGCATAATCCACAATACACTAAATTAGTATAGGATAAGCTCATAAATAAGTCCATAAAGTTGTCTATTCTCAAATCCTTAATTTCTGGTGAATCTCAGTCATTGTGCTTTTGAGTGTGAACAGTTTGAATGGGTATAAAGGAAGACATTTAGCAGAATCTCCTACTGACAACCCACATTGATCTTACTACCATTTTCCCATATTCATTGGATTTAAAATAAATAAATAAATAAATGAAATTGAACCAAAGGATAAAGCAGATTTTATATAATGGGAAAGCAAGCCTTTTCTCCCTATACAGCAGCATTTCCAAACAATAAGTGTGATCACACAGAGGAACTTTCCTGTGTTATAAAGAATTATGGTTTGTTTTTTATAAGGAAATAAGAGTTCCAAGGGTTATTGAATTCTTGAATTTTATTTTGTTTCTGTCCCCTTTCTGTCCAGTAGATACTCCAGTTATAATGGGCACCATGCATATTAAAGACCATTGAAGAGAAATCAAAACATTCCTCTTTCATTAGAGCACAAATGTATTTGACGGTGTAAATTCTTTAAGTGTGCAAAATATGTTGACAGTAAAGAACATTCTATCTCTATTTAGTATTTCTTCTTTGTTTAAAAAAGGAAAGTTTACATGTATCGAAGTGCGATTTCATCTTGAGAGGCAGATGGGTTACTATCTCATCCAGATGTACATACCAAGTCTCTTGATTGTCATTCTCTCCTGGGTGTCATTTTGGATCAATATGGATGCAGCTCCAGCCAGAGTGGCTTTAGGCATAACAACAGTATTGACCATGACAACACAAAGTTCAGGTTCACGAGCATCGCTTCCAAAGGTAGGCAGAATCTCCTTTGTTTGTACCACATTAGTACCAAATCATTATGCTATGTTACAAATAAACACCTTCAGTCAACCTTGTAATATGTGTTTTATGACAGAACAGATATGACTGAATTTCTACAGGTCATGGATTCCAACCTGCTCTCAATGAAATTTCTTTCCTAAAACCTACCTACATTGTAAATTAACCCACTAGTTATAAAACATCAAAAAGTAGAAAAACGTTATGTTGAAGAAATTAGAACAATTGTATAAAGAATGGTTCACTACACAATGTAAATATCTCAAAGTATATTTCTGTGAGTAACTAGGTTTTCTGACTTGTCATTGCCTAAAAGATCTTTTTACTTTACAGGTTGTTCCTTGACCATTCTCATGTGCGTTTGCAGTTACCAGAAATAACATATATACAATAAAAAATACAAAGTCCACTTATAACATGGTATTTGTAGGTTGGCTAATTTTCTTTTTTTCTAAGTAAAACAAACACCCTCAGCAGATGTCAGTGGGCTTTGTGCCTAATATATATGGATCCAAAAGCATCCAAAAGTGTCATAAACAGAGAAGATGGGATGCCATAAAAACTCAGAAAAGCAAGAACATAAGAGGTTATCAAAGAGAGCTACAGATGTCTTTTGTCACATCTTTGAGGCCTGAAGCTAGCTACATTTGCTTACATGAAAAAGCTCTTGTAAATCTGAACACAGAGAAGGAACAGGCCCTACTTTCCTAGTTCAGATTATGTCCTGCAGCTGAGCTTGGCAATGAAGCATTGTAGTGAGTTCATCTACTCTGTAATTAATTTTCAGTACTTCCACTGTGTCAAAATTACAAGTTTCATTTGAACCTATATCTTTGATTTACCGTACCTATATTAGCAGAGAATTAACTTATCAGAGCCCTCCATCTATCTCCCTTCTTCCTAATTTCTATTCCAGAGACTTAAAATCAAGTTCATTATAACAGAGGAATTCCCATTAGTCCCACTATAAGTTATGCTCTGGTTAATGACATAAATATTAAACACATTTTGTGAAAGACTGCATTTTTAAAAAATATGTTTAATGATTATAGATTGTTGTCCCACTTACTATTTAATATTCATGTTAAGTTTTGTTTTATAAAAGTTGTTTTGAGATGTGGAGATCTTAATGCACTTCCTCCTGATGTGAAATACTAAGCTTCACATCTGGTGTTGAACATATTTAGTCTTCTACTCTATTCTCTACATAGGTGTCATATGTCAAAGCAATTGACATCTGGATGGCTGTGTGTCTGCTCTTTGTATTTTCTGCACTTCTGGAGTATGCAGCTGTAAATTTTGTGTCAAGGCAACATAAAGAACTTCTGAGATTTCGCCGCAAGAGGAAGAAGAACAAGGTAAAAGTAATAGGATTCACAACTTTGAAAGGGAGTCTGAGATTGATTTATGCCAGGATACAGGGTTAATTTGGTAAACACACTGCAGCTTAAAGTGGTAATATAAATAAAATGGCAGCACAGAATGAAATTCACTATAGGCAGAGGGTCACTACAAGGACTAGGCACTGCATAAATCCAACTTGAACTCTCAAATGAGGGATTAAGAGGGATTTAAATGAGGCATGGGCCATGTGGGAGCCATCTGCACAAGCATGAATTTCACTCTGTTAAAAGAGTCAAATTATACTCCAGTGGATGAATGTTACTGGTACTTGCAGCAGTTTATACTACATTGAGATTCAGCAAATAATATTTCTAGTTTCATTCTACTCTCCAGTTCAAAACCTTAAAAGCTGTGTTTCATGTAAATATTTTTTAAATAAAAAATACTTCTTCAGTTACTATTATTGGTGAAAGAACATTTTATTTTAAAAGCCTGAGAAGGCAGTGGATTTTTCCTTGACATATTAATTTAGTGTAAAGTATTCATACAACTAGTAAGCTTTAATACAGCAACAGTTACATTTATTGTATAGCTAACACTATCTAGACTACGGTAAAATCACTTACTAACAATGTGCAAAGTCAAACAGCCAAGGCTACCACAACAATATGTCTCTCCTACTTCTGTTTTTTCAAAGAGTAATGATTTCCCCACCTTATTAAATGAGCATTGGTGTCATGCAAAGCCTTTCCACTGGCTTTCAGTCAGTATCTAGAATATTACTGTGGATGAAATTCTGACCATAGCAACATGACTCAGTTCAGCTGTCTTTTATTCCTGAAGACTGACCTAAATTTCCTGCTTACATCACAAGGAGAAGACCTTTCAAAAGTTATTTGCCTTTTACATAGAAGATATTGAAAAGCTGTAATGCTGCAAAGCCTACTTAAGCAGTCTCTGCTAGCAAGACTCCACGTTAAAAGGCAGGCAGGACAGTCAAATGACTATGACATTTTCATACACTTCCCCATTCCTATGTGTTGAGTCTTAGACTTCTACGGATGTGGAGAGACTCACGTACTGCTGCCGAGCAGATGATTCACACTGTATGTACCTGTTTGCAATATTTGTCCCTATGAAAAATACCCTTTTCTTTTCATTGACAACAGCAGAAAAAAAACCTTTCTGAGACACAGAGGAGGAAAGCAACACTTTTGCGACAGGGTGTTTTTGAAATATGGAGCTCTCTGAAAGCTGCTTAAAGGTTTGGAATGGGGGCAATGTGAAGGGCAGAGACAGTTTACTGGACAGGGGGCGACTGAGCCACAAAAATATGTCATGTATCAAATACAAGAAGTTGTGGTGAGTGATAATTATGTGATTATACTTTTAGCCCAATCACTTTTTTTGCCATGTATTGCATTTTCTTCTGGGTTTCAGGCAAATTTACCATACTCAACTTCAATGATATATTTTTCATTTCTTTAAATATAAGTCAATTATTATAACAGTGTTAGAAACTTCCAGGTAATATTACCTTCTTTCCTCAGAATCAAACCAAATCTCTTTCCATCCCCCTCTTAGAATGACTTCAAGCTCACTAAAGGTTCTTCTTCAGCTATCACAATAAAATTTCAGATTAGGGATATGTAAGGAAGGATCTACAATATACAAAACAATACTAAGAGAAGACCAATATTAAAAAAAAAAAAAAGTATACACATGGATAGTCTCATTGACTTAAGTGTTTTGCTGGATCAGTGCTTGACATCATGGTATTTTTACATTCACATTTAAAAGTCCTCATTCTAATTTTTTGCTTCATTGGACATTGTTCTAGCTTCAGGTAAGTTGCCTGCTAGGTTCTCTTAAAATTAGAGGATTAGTCTTAGAGACTACAGGGTCTATAGCAAAATATTAAATACTCCTCTTAGATTCTGAAGGATGAAGACATGTCTTTCAATGTTTTTCTTCATAAGACACCCAGGTGAGGGTATTAACTATATCCAGGCTTTCCCTTTTTCCTTGTATTTGCATGTTGCATCATGAGACAGGTTTCTCAGCCTAAATTTACAAAAAATGCTTTGTTCCCATGCAAAGTTATTAATTTGACAAAGACATATTTTTCTGAAAGTATTAATTTGACTGAACATTTCTCAAATAAATCTAATTCTATGTAGAGCTATATCTCTTGGTCAGAGTTAATCTTTGAGAACACATCTCTTTTTGTCAATGTTTTATTAAACCATTCCTTGCCCAAGAAGTATACCAGAATTTGAAATGTTACAGCATGGAGATTTTATCTCTTTAAAAAAACTGGATCACATCCTAAACAGTCTGGTATACAAATAATAAATAATGTCTTATGGATTAAAGAAAAGCAGTTAATAACTAACTTTCCTTATCACAAATGTTGTTATTTATTCACCACCATTTCTAACATGAAATGTTCAACCAAGGATAGTGAGTCAAATTAACTTGTGCTTCCTTCCTCTTTTGTCTTTTTCAAAATCAGTTACTATAGCTCATGATTATAAAGTTTTGTATGTGTTTGTTATCCATTTGGACTAGGTGAAACAGCCACTGGCTCTCAGAAATTAGATTCTATTGGACTTTAAAACTACTATGTATAAAGAAATGTTCATTTGACCACAAAGTCAAAAGACATGAAAAGTTAGGCTAAAATGCTACTTTAAAAACTAACTTCAGGGGGTTCCTTGAACATTAAATCCTCATTCTTTTTAAAGTGAAAACTGTTATTCTAGTCAGTATTTATATCAAAATGAATTAGAGTAATAGAGAAGTTGGGATAAATTTTTGGACTTTTTCATCCCTTATGCTTACCATCTTGGGACATTTAAATAGGACTAGGTTTTTCAACCAGGTGAATTCCAATCAGTTTATGCCTTTGCTATACCTTTGAGGGTATAGCAAAATTATTAGTGATTCAACGGTGTTGCACAAGTCCAAATATAAATCCTTTTGGAAATGTTTCATTTCAGGTACATGTTGACAGAAGAGAACATGTATGAATAATATCTGATTACAATAGGGCAGCTGAAGAATGTCCAAAGTCTATTTTCTTTGTAATTAAAAAGACACTCTTGCTGCAAGAGATATTTATTTTTATCGGATAACCCTAGCAACAGTCAGTCAGCTGAATTTTGCTGCTGGAATGCCATTGCAAGGTCAGTGAATCCATTTTCCTGACCTGAGCCAGGATCACTTATACCTAGGTCATCCCTGTCCTAAATATTCCAAAGCTTCTCAACAATCTGTTTCAATGGTTTAGAAAGTTTTTTACGCAAGCCTGTTTTGGCCTTTCATGGCTTGTCTACAAGGGGCACAGAGGTCCTTTATGTAGGTAGCCATATGCACATTACCATTCAGTCTTCTTTTCTTTAAATATTCCATGTTGTGTTTTTTTGTTGTTTTGGTTTTTTTTCTCATTTACATACTCCTTCCCTAGAAATTATCTTAATATATCCATATAATTCCTCAAAACTATGTTTGCAACATGAAGCCTAGTCAGTAACAACTGAGAGCGGTCAAAGGATCACATCACACTAGTTATATGCTTGTTTATCCAAATCAGTTTGTCATTTGCCTTTTTAACAACAGCATGGTATTCACCCATACCAAGATTATGATCTTCCATAACTCCCAGGTCTTTTTCCAGAAGTGCTGCAGAGCCATTAGCTTTCCATCTTATGTTTGTGAAGTTGATTATTTCTGGCTAATTATAGTATCTTGGTTTTTGCACCTCTCATGTACTTTTTGGACACTGACCAAATAATTTAGTCAATTTAAACTCTAAACATATCCTCAAACAAATTTTCAGTTTTTCTTGGGTTGGATTGCTTGGTAAATATAATCAAAATATGGTTATTCCTTCTCAATGCTGATTAAAAACAGGATAACTGAAATCTCACTGTTAAAGAAGCATATGATCGAACTCAGAAAAATCCCTGCTGTAAACGTGTATAGCAAACAAAATAAGAACTGCTGAGATTTATTGGAAATTATAATTATAGACAATATAGGTGATTCTTAGGTGTAACTGCACCCTCTGGCTACCGTTTTTGTGGTTGTAACTATGGACCTCAGTGATTCCAAATAAATGAAAGGCAAATTCATTTTCAGAGGCCCAATCTAACTTGCACAGAGTTAATAAATTTTTTAAGTTTCTGGGATCATATTATAAATACATTTATAAATAAAGACTGTTATTGCAGCATAACATGCAATCTACTCATTGCTGTCTTCCAATAGGCATCACAGTATGTATAGGAATTTTTTCAAAAAGGGTCTAATTCTTTGTTGTTACAGAAATGGCATCATGAATCCTGAGAGAAGGGAAAATTTTGTTCCAAATTTGAGGCTTCATTTGGTAGTCTGTATATGATCCACAGTGCTTTGTCTCTGCCAGAAAATATCTGGTGAATGAACACAACTATTTTACAACTATTATACTATTAATGTGATGAAAACATGCCTTCTGAATGAACGAATAGTAATTATTCATTCACAGTTACAGTCCTTTTGGTCTTGAAAGACAAAAGGAAAAATAAATTAGAAGTCACACAGGGTTACTGAAACATACCTATAATCAGTGCTTTTTCTTAGTTGTATTTACACTGTATGGGGAAAAACATTAACTGTGTACATATACTGAATGACACTTTGATTTTAAATTAGGTTTTAATATTTACTATTCAGGAATATTTTATCTTTTAATTCTATTTTCAGAAATCTAAAGATCACTGTATCTTTAGTGAGGAAAATAGATATGCAAATTAGGTTGTCTCTAATGGTAATCACACCTCTTTTCTTTTGTTTTCTTTTTGGTCAACCCATCCGTTTTGATGAAAGTATTTTGAGGGAGTTCTTGATGGAAATGAAATCAGTGAATCATTGCAGCATAGCAATGGCTTGAGATGTACAGGACCTATAGACGGGAGTTTGCCTCAAATCTACAGTACAAATTTAAGGGTAAACAATAAAGAAGATGTCCCATTTGTCATAATGTGATATCCAATCATTAACAGAGGCCCTGTCCTTTTGTCTGAAATATGTCTTCCCATGTGAGTTCCATACACCTTCATTCCTACCTGTATGTGATGACGTGAAGTGTTAATAAAAATACCTGCTTGTTAATTTCATAATCAATTTTGATCTGTTCAAATCTGCATTAAAGCATAGCTCCAAAATTTTACTTTCTATAAATTCAAAGGAACAGTGACATCAGTTCAAGAAAAAACAGTTGCTACCAGATCAGCATTTGAAACCAAGCTGTTTGTAATGTGAAACAAAAATAATTCAATAACATTGAAAACTAAAAAATATAGTGTTCAAATAACCAAAGCCAAGGTTTCAAATAAGTCTTCAAGCTATTACCACAACCTACGGTAAGAAGGTTATAGAGATGTTTTCAGCCCTTATGCATATTACTCCTCAAGAAAAATGAGTTATTAAATACCTGGACAGGAAACAATGTAGTCACAGGGCCACTGAAACTGACAATTTTCTAATACTTTACAGCTAAGCTTTTTGAAGAACAAGTCTGATATAAAAACAAAATATTTTATATTTCCTGCAGGTGTCAAGAGTATTCTAACTTTCTAAAAAAAACCTTTTATCTGAATTTATTTCCATTCTTTAATTATGGCTATTTTAATAAAGACAATTAAACATTCATATATAAGTGTATGCAGAATAACTTTCAAATCTTTCATTCCAAAGCTATAGGTATGAAATACATTACATATTCATATCAAACTTTCATTAAAGTTCACTCATAATAAGTTTGTAAAAGCTTTATCAAAAATCAGCAAGTAATCATTAATTTTCTGTTCTTTAGTGATGATACACTAAAAAAAAAAACAACACAAAAGAAAAAAAAAAAACAACCAAAAAGAGCCTCCTTATTACATAAAAAAGTCAGCCAAAATGCAGGACTTTTTCAAAATGATTCACTGTCTGTATTCTCAACTGAGATATACAGAGGATTTCCATGAAATTATTTCAACAGCTGCAGATTCAGGCACATGTAGTATGAGATATTTCTAGCCAAAAACAAGCACTACAGCCCTGTCAACTGATAAAACCAAATGGGGCATCACTGACTTTTTTTTAAAATGACTGTGAAAAAACACTCAAAACTTAATATCAATAATAACAGTAACTGCATCTTTCCTGTCATGCACAAGCACACTCAGATATGAACATAAGGCCAAATTTATGATTTTTCTGCATTATGCACCTGCTGGAAAACTTGCAGAATCACATTTTGGATATTCCAGCTGGTACCTCAGAAAAAAAGTTACGGCCGCATCTGGCATGTTACAATGCTCTAGAGGATGCCTGTTCCTGCTTATTCATTAGCCCTAGCACTTTGGTCTGACTTGGCAGACTCCAAACATTCTGCATGCCTTCATGGACACACCATTCAAAGATGCTGGGCAGAAGTGCTAGATTCCTAGAAGGACTTTCACATCACTTTCTCTACAACAGAGATCATTTCCAAAGTAGCCTGGCTGCAGACTTAATTCAGGATATCTACAAGCAAAAAAATAAGCAGAAACCTGGCTTTTGAAGCCATTCCAGGGTATCACTCAATTCAGGTAAACATAGAAGAGGGACAGTAAAGTCTTAGTATATAGTGCCTCATCCTGAAAACATACTCAAATGAAAACTTCTATCAGAAGAATTATGTTATTATCTTTTTGATCCTGTGCAATCACAAGAATTATTTTCTGCAGAAGCATGAAAAGATTTAAACCATGGATTGTATGTATGAAGGTGTTTAAATGGCAAGGTTAGTATAAAAACATAGAGTATTTGTAACTTCTGTTAACTAGACCACAAGGCTACAACTTCTCTGTTATACAACAGCTATAAAGATGTTCTTTCCCATTATTTTCTGACAGGAAAGAGACATTATTGTAGTTATTAGATCTTTGTTTTATCACGTCATCAAATAATAATCCTATCACTTTGTATTTCTGTTATTCATTTCCATATTGAAGTCAGTCAGTGATTTCTCCTCCATGTTTTCTTTTCTGTTAAATTTTCTTTATTTTTTGTTTTTGTAGGAGAATTCTAATACTAATTTGACATATAGTAGTTTCAGTGAACTATATTAGTCTTTAAGTTTATTCAATTTACATATATGAAAAAGTATTGCAATTGGGTAATAACGACAGCAGTTGGGTGATAACTACAGCTCTAATGGAGGCTTTTCCTGATTGCCATCTAGTTCACTTCAAACTTAAGAAATTATCTGTGTTCTTTCATAGATAAATAATTCAACTAATATTGATAATAAACATAATTGGATTTTTTTAAAACAAAGTATTTGACAATGGTTCTCCGAGCAAGTAATACTTGATCAAAACTTTACATTTGTTTAGAATTAATTCTGTATTCCAAAACATTTTCAAATTTTCCAAATGTCACAAGCATTTTCAAAATGAAACATCTACAAGTTTGGATTTAAATTGTGTTCCTTGAGAATAAGAGGTTGAAATATAACAAAATGCTTCACAATTACCACACTGAAACAGTTATTATTTTACTTGCTTCAGGAAATAAATTATTTTGCCCTTTTATTTTAATTTATGATAGAAAGAACTTCAACATTTTGAAAACTCTCTTACCAAAGGGAAATTGAGTGCTACTCAATTCTTTCTTTAATACCTAGTGAATTTATTTTCCAAAATACTTAAGAAATATTTTGTCATACTGCATAGAAGTCTAGAATCTTAAAGGCCCTGCCTTCATAGTCTAGGCATAATTTATTTGCCTACATCTGTACCTCCTTTATTACTTGAAAATACCTATAACCAGGTGAAGAGAAGTCCAACCCGTGTCTCAAGACAGAATCACATTTTTGAAACACATGCTATGAAAATATGTCTATCTTCAGCTATTTTTGTTTCCATGTCACATGATTAAAACCCACTTTCTGTTATTGCTCCTTTAATTCAGAATATTTTTTTCTAGTTTTCCCCTGAATTGACAGAAGAATGAGTCAGAAGAAAAATCTGGCCTTGAGCGTTAATTCACTTTATATTAAACTTAAGACACTTTATATACTGTTTTATTTGTCTGATACATTCACAGGGAACAGCAGGATTTTTTTTTAGCAGGAATAAGGCATATGGATAAGATTGACAATACAATGACCAAATAGGCAGAATTCTCGATGTAATTAAAGAGAACATTATTAGTGTTTGTATGATGAGTATCTCTAGAGGCCAGGATCTGATTTTCTTAAGCAATGTACACAGTTAACAGCTGTTGTCTAAAAGACCAGTGTGAAGTTTGCCAAATTGAAGACTGCAGATATTTATTGTAAATGGGGAATATTAAGCTGAAACAGAAGCCATGTGCCTGATGACTAGTTTGCTAAGCATTCTATTTTATCTAAATTGATTACAGAATCTGTACACAAATAGCAAAATTGTGTGCTTGTTAAAGCTGCTGCAATATTTTTGACAGATACTGGTAGGGCTGAAATTTCCACCAGTTAAGTAAGATAAACTGTGGATTCAAGAAGTTACTGGGGTAATGGTGTAATGCTTTCTATTTAACACCTGGTAAGATTTCTGTAAATAAAAAAAACCTTGTTTTTTTCTTCCTATGTTTTGTTCCGACAGGATGATGACGTAAGGGAAAGTCAGTTTAGCTTTACAGCATATGGAATGGGCCCATGTCTGCAAGGAAAAGATGGAGTGACACAAAAGGGGCCAAATAATCCTGTACAAGCTGCACCTAAAAGCCCTGATGACATGAGAAAGGTATTCATTGACAGGGCCAAAAAGATAGACACGATATCCAGAGCTTGTTTCCCATTAGCCTTTCTGATTTTCAATATTTTTTATTGGGTAATTTACAAAATCATCAGGCATGAAGACATTCACCAATAACGACATTAAGGCTTGCAGGACATACAGATCTAACTGCCATGTTCAACAGGAGGCTTTCTCTTAGAAATGTACATCTGAGCAGAGATTGGGAGAGTTAAAGGCATTGAAAAAGGAAAAAAAATGATCCTGCCATGCCCAGTCACAGTGGAATGGAAGAATGACACCCAGAGAACATACATATGCTATTGCAAATTTTGTGTAAAACTAAATATTAACTTTTGTATTGTAAATCACTCTCTACTGAAGCTCTTCTGCCACGTACTTATACATACTGTTACATAGTGGTATAATTGTACAATACTCTTTGATTTTCCTTACATTTTTTTTAAATTCTGGTGTACTCCTAATTAAAAAAAAAAAAAAAAAAAAAAAAAAAAAAAGATCCAGAATACCCTAGGTAAATCCCACAGTTTTACAGAATAATTAGTATTTGTAACATTTATTTCAATTTTACAAGATAATGACAAATAACTGATTTCAGGTTACAGTTATAGGGATTTTTTCTTGTCTTAAAGACAGTATTTGCCATTTTGCAATAAGCACATTTGGCACATTCAGATTATATGATTTATTCAATGCAATGATTTATTCAATGCACTTCTTATTACTCTTCCCCTGGAAGGTGTACGTTGAAACAATCTCAGCACAAGCTATCTACAGCCTAATAGTCTGTATATCACACAGGAAATATATTTTTAAAAAAATGTAAAGTATTGATTCCTGAAAATAATTATTTTCTTTTCATTATCTATGCTTTAAGAATTGACCCTTTAAAACTTTATATATATTTTAAGGTTTTTGATTTTTTTCTAAATGGGTGAAATTCATACAGCTTTGGAGATTGCAATGTTTCATGTTTCATTTTGACTCAAAGCAAAGAGATCTTGGACCAACACTAAAAGCAAGTAGTCAACTGTTTCACTGAAACATTTGGAGGATGAGTACAAATGTGTTGATGCACATTTATTTCCTACATGTTACATAAAACCAGGAGGTTTAACATATGAATAATCAACTTTTCTGACTCATTCTTTGAAATATGTTGGCACAACTTAGGTACTGGTTAAAAAGTTCTTCACAACTTAGGAAAAATACACAACTCTTCCAAAACATGAACATGGAACAAGATGGTCTTTTACATTTATTGCACTTGACATTATTAAATAGGAGAACTGCTATTAAAACTCTTAGATGAATTTTTCCCTGTTTAGGATTAAATAAGTCACATTAGTTGTTTCTTTGAATTATAACACAAAGATCACATTTATGGCATAGCTCATAGGCAAGAGTGTTTACATTTGTGAATCTTGTCTATGGAAAACCAAAATACGCTAAGATATGGAAATCTGACATTTAGAGTTACTAGCTATTTTAAGTTCAGTAGCTGAGGTGGTATCTTATTGCAAAATAGTTCTATTTTGCATACGTTTTAAATTTTTTGTTTGTTTTTGCTCAGAATGTGAATACAAACACAAAATGCAGCTGGAAGCAAACATCTGGTGCACTACCAAAGGGATGGTGCACATGCAGGAACAGAAGCAATGTAACTCTGCACTCAGGATTATAACGTAGCAGCCTTAGGTTTGCTTGGGTTTGTTGTTGTTTTCTTCCAAGAATTCGAGAGATTCTGAAATAGTGGCTCTCAGATTTTGTTCAGCTGCATCAGAAAGAAGTGGTATAATCCTCCTTTGTTTTGAAACAGTAATGTTTTAAGTTTTGCTTCATTTATGATCTGAAATTAATTCAATTCACTTGAAACAACTATTGTTTGCTGAGATTGTCTTATTTTTGTTGATTTCTTTATGTTCATGCTTCAAAAAAATTGTGTTCATTTATGAAGGTGCTCATCTGTGTGAGAGGGTATAACAAACTAACAGCTGATGTTTCAGTTGGGTTATATTTATCCCTCTCAAGGTTATCATTCAGTGTGTATCATGTGAAAAGGAATGTTAACTTTCTTCTGCTGTCAGTGAAGTCAACAACATTTTGTTTCAGGTCTGTTTGAAGTAGTGGATCTATAATCAAGAAGCAACCACAAACAATTACAATATCTTTCAGGCTGATCTATTTTCTTTCCTACTAGAATAGCTGACTTACATTCAATAAAGAATTCTTAATTAAAGAAGTAATAGCATTAAAAATGCTGGCCAGATCTGAATAACTCTGAATTATTCTAGTTATAACACTTGAGTACCTGGTTACTTTGCCTCTCCCAACTATTCAATAGTCTGTTGCTCTCACATATGTAGTACAACTTTGTTTTGAAAATATTAGCAAGCTAGAGTAATGCAGAGCTAAACAAATTTAGCCCTAATTTCTTTTTTCACACCTTAAGGCATAAAAGGTGTATGATCTCAAATAGAGAAATCAGACAGGAAAGAGAGATTGGATTACAACACTGGCAAAATATAACAGGGAGTCAGAAGGAATGCAAAATATTGAGCAAGACAGACAAGATTCCTCATTAATATATGAACCTATTACCTTTGTGAGAGGGAATAACCCTTGTGCCACATTTCACTTTGACTAGAGTATGATAATCCAAGGAAAAATTCTTTCATATATCATATATGAAGAAAAGGTATAAATCTACATTATAATTCTTTTCTGACCTCCCTCATGGATTGTTACCTATGTTCTATTTAAAATAAATGAAAGCTGTAGATTTCTTGACGGGACCTAGTGCCTAGCGTTAGCTCTTGTGATGCATCACTTCAGTAATGCACTATGGTGAGAGAGAAGAGGGTCTCAGCTGTGACCAATAGAAAGTATATGCCTTCCTCTATGTAGTTATAATTGTCTTTAATGAACCTTACACATTGGGAAGTTGAGCATACTCTACTTCTATATTGAAGTGTATAGATATATATACACATACTTATATATACATATTTATACACTGCTATAGGTATATATATGTACACACACACTCTATATATATACTATATATATAATGTCCATCTTCTAACAGGGTACATTGAAAATAAAGATAATTAATTATACTTGCAACATCACTATGAAATCCTGCAGTGTTGAGGGAATATTTTTTTTAGCAATCCATCAACAATAAAAGTATTTCAATCTGAGGGGAAAAGTAAAAAATGCTTCCATTATGATGTTTTCAGACGCACGTAACATTTTGCATGTCATTATGTTGTCCTCAGGTAAGTAAAGATTTCCTATTTTAATGTAATGGAACCGTGATCTCTCCTGAACCAATAGATTTCTGGGGTTTTATTTCTGGAATCATAACATTTGCCAAGGTAAAAAAAGCCTCTGCAGTCTACTAAATAATGTGTTTTTCAAAAGTAATAGGAACTTAAAAATCTAAATTTCATTTAGATTATGCCTAAATAACTTACTGTAAAGTCACATGGTAAAGAAGGAGAGAAATGTAATTTGAGATTATAAGAAACAAATGCCTGCCATTAACCACCGACTAGAGGGAAAAGTCAAATGCCAGCAGGCAACACCAGTCCTCTGTACAAAGCTAGAATCAACAGCTACTGTCATCAACTAAGATTAGTGTGTGAGCTTATTCTTTTGTAACTGTATAATGAAGGGAATAACATTGAGAAGATGCAAGAATTGGAAGGCACTCTGCAGTATTTATCAGACTGCAGTATTAACGCCACAGTCCTGTGAAGGAAGCACTAGAGAAGCAGAAAATAAATCATAAGGCAACAATGCTTGTGGCAGATGCTACCTAAAAAAGACCCTATTCATTAGGCTGAAGTAGATACTACCACTGAACCTGGGCTCTACAGAGTACAGGTCCTTAACCAAGGCACACAAGAAAGCTTGTAAGCACAACCCCTATGTGACAGGCTAATGCAGCTTTGCCCCCGGTAATTATTCACCACAGGTGCAGTCTCTCTGCTGCTTTTGTGGTCCCTGTAGACCAGTCCTATACTTACAAACTAAAATTCTGGCTCTAAAAGATCATTTCAATACAATGGAAATAGAAGGAGAAACAGTAGGATCTAGATAAACACTCCAGTAACACAGCTATCAAACATCTGACACAGTCACCATAAAGGGGAAAGAAGGAGAAGCATGAGGTATCCTTACTACTTTTCCCCATCCTCCAATATCCTCTCCATAGGTACAGGTAGAAGCAATAGCTGTAGGAGGAAACAATTTACATCAACGGCTGCAAAGTGTAAAAGGTCTTGGGACAGCAGTTCCTAACTGTGCAGAAAGAGAATTCCACATCATCCACATGTGTAAAGGAAAGAGAAGCAGAGCAGAAAGGTACAGAATGAAAAGCATGGGCTGTACACACCATAAAAGAGGCCACTGGGAGATGGAAAGCCCAAAGCAATGCCTGCAAACTGTCTTTCCTTCCTGTACTAAAGAGAGAGACATGATCAAGTCCATGTCACTCCTCGTAAAGCAAAAAAACTTCAGATAAGAGAGGTCCCTTAGAGGTGCAGTAAACACACTCAGCTGCCACAGTACCAAAATTAAATGCTTAAATTCTGATTAGCAAAAGTAATTTTATTTTTAAAGTTGTGATCAAGTATCAAAAAAAAAAAAAAGGCTTGCATGGTTAAAGGGCTGTTTTTTTTCTCTATAATGCTGATAGAGGAGGCTTGAAGGAGAAAGGGAAGAAGAGATACCAGTATTTTGCTATTTAGAATTTAGATATTTGAACACCTAAATAAAGCACATTCTACTTTCAAAGAGTTTTGACAAGAAGTAGTATTACATAAGCAGATTAGTGGAATTCAGGGAGAACATGGGACCTAATTATTTTTTCAGTTCAATCATATATTGGTTTCCTCTGGATTGTTTTCATTAGACTCTGTTACAAAAACTTTTTATATGCTTCTTCTTAAGAAACATCCTTTGTGATATTTGAGAGATTTTTCTGTTTTCTCACTAGAAAGACTTCTATTTAGGTGATTTAGACGTGCACTTTAAATTTAAGGAGTAAGATATTGCTTCCACTTTCTACTGTCATCTATTACAGAGCTGTAGGTGATAATTTAGATAAA